TTAAAGGGTCGCGGCATTAGGAAGGTTGAGAACCACTGGCCTAGGTGGTCCTCATGCCCTCGCGTGCAATGTTGCCACAAGATGGCAGTGCGCACAGTGGAGGCGGGGCCCAGCAACCTCTCTGCACAGTGAGGCCTGGGGTTCTTGCGGCTCTGCAGGGGAGGAGGAGGCCAGTCCCGAAGTCTCTGCTTCCTCACGCAGAGGAGGCAGGTCACAGCAGGGGAAGGCAGTTGTGAGCCATTGGGTTGGCAGGGGAGTGGTTAGGGGGTGATCAGGCTGGCAGGCAGAAGTGTTTAGGGGCAATCAGGCAGGCAGGCAGACATCCCCCGAGGGGTCCCAGATTAGAGAGGGTGCAGGCCGGGCTGAGGGACTCCCCCCTCTCATGCATGAATTTTGTGCACTGAGCCTCTAGTTAGAATATAATGGCTGCTGTATTCAGCCACTGCATTTGGGAATAGTTTCTTACACAGGGAGATACCTGGAACAATGGGAAAATGGTGTACACAGGCTCTTTTATTAGTAGGCTCTGGATGCCAATCACATAGGCTGAACCAGGAAAGAGGGTAGTGAGGCGAGACTGGGTATGTCATACTCTTCCTCAAATGACACACTTCCTGCTTGACTTTCAAGGTGTTTGATTCATAATGTCAAGTTGATGAACAGACACTGTCAGGTGTCTGGGGCTGGGAGATGGATTGGGGCTGCCAAGTTTTACCACTCCAGCACTCACTGTTCATAGGTCCCATGGCCAGAAGGGAGGAGTCAAAACAAAAAGTATAATTCTGAGCAATAAAAATAAGAGGAGAATGGAGCAAAGGGAGTATAAGTTTCTCAAACTTAGTTCAGCCGTATTATTGTTTGATATTTTTCTTTAAACCTATTTTATTTTATTTTACTGACTAAGCTATTTTTGACGCCACCCTTACTAATTTCGTCAGGGAAGCAAGGTGCCCAGCTAAAAAAGTCTTCTCACACTCCCGTGTAGCAGGAGTGGTCAGGGCACTGACTGAGGGGGATTGAAGAGGACAAGGAGTGGTGCTTGAAGTTGAAAAACAAATTCAGCTGGTGAATTACTCAAAGTGTTTGATTACACTGAGAGATTTATGTGAACAGAAGACAGGCAAATGCTAACTGGGAAAAACAAAACGTTGTAGGCTTGCCCGGCCAGCATGGCTCAGTGGTTGAGCATTGACCTATGAACCAGGAGGTCACGGTTTGATTCCTGGTCAGGGCACTTGCCCAGGTGCAGGCTCGATCCCCAGTAGGGGGTGTGCAGGAGGCAGCCGATCAATGAATCTCTCTTTCAATGGTGTTTCTCTTTCCCTTCCTCTTTGAAATCAATAAAAATATATTTTTTAAAATGTTGTAGTCTCAGTACACAAGGTCTACTTTGTGAACAATATAAATAATCATCATAATATAAACATTGAATAATAATTCAATATTTTAATAGACTTCTTTTTAGAAAAGTCTTAGATTTACAGGAAAATTGATCATATAGTTTAGAGAGTTCCCATGTACCAATACCCAGATTCTCCTATCACTAACATCTTACCTTAATACGGCAAATTTGTTACAATGAACAGACCAATCTTGATATATGATCATTAAGTAAAGTCTACAGTTTATTTAGCTTTCCTTAGTTTTACCCAATGTCATCTTCTGTTCTGGGAAATCCCCATTACATTTGATTGTTCTGTTTCCTTAGGCTCCTCTTGGGTATGACAATTTCTCAAACTATCCTTGCTTTTGATGACTTCAACAGTCTTGTAGGTCAAGTATTCTGTAGAATGCTCCTCAGTTGGGGTTTGACGTTTCCCTCATTGTTAGATTGGGTTATAAGTGCTTGGGAGGAAGACCACAGAGGGAAAGTGCCATTTTCATCAAATGCATCCAAGGTACATACTATCAACATGATTTATCACAGTTAATATTGACCTTGATCACCTGATAAAGGTAATTTTGTTGGTTCGGTGTTTTTAAAATATTTTTAAAATATATTTTATTGATTTTTTACAGAGAGGAAGGGAGAGGGATAGAGAGTTAGAAACATCGATGAGAGAGAAACATCGATCAGCTGCCTCCTGCACACCCCCTACTGGGGATGTGCCCGCAACCAAGGTACATGCCCTTGACTGGAATCGAACCTGGGACCCTTGAGTCTGCAGGCCGACGCTCTACCCACTGAGCCAAACCGGTCAGGGCTAAAATATTAAATATAAAGTTAAAATTTATTTCAAAAATTAAGTAGTACCAAAACTATACTTAGAATATGAAATAAGAAAGTTTGTATGTGTGTAGCATGTGGAGCAGCTGAGGGTAGGACTAGAGAAAGATAAATCTTTACCTTCCATAGTTGAAAGACAATAGATATATGAATGGGGGGGGAGGGTATAGAAATAACTAAATAATTTATATATTTGTTAATCCTCACGCGAGGATATTCTCCATTGCTTTTTCAGAGAGAGTAGAAGAGAGAGGGAAAGACAGAGGGAAACATTGATGTGAGAGAAACACATTGATTGGTTGCCTCCTGCATGAGCCCTGACCAGGGCCTGGGCCGGGGAGGATGAGCCCTGACCAGGGCCCTTGACCGGAATCGAACCTGGGACCCTTTGGTCCACAGGCTGACGCTCTATCCACTGAGCCAAACCGGCCAGGGCCTAAATAAATATTTTATTTAATAAAATAGAGATAATACATAGGGGAAAGAGACCGTTAAGAGAGTTAAAGTGATTGCTCTAGGGAAGTGAGAGTTCCTAACCTGCTGGAGATTTCTGGGAAAGGCTTCGTTCCCTTCCTCCTGCCCGGCACACAGATGTGGTTAATAACCTGAGGAGTTGCAACAGCCATTTTGTGGTCATGAGGGAAAAGCCAAGGAAGAACTATCTGGCCTAATGCTGCTGAACGCGGAGTTGGGAAGAGTTGCAGCGTCACACCGTTCTATAGTAGTTCCGCCGTGCAGATACAGTAGACTAACCACAGAACATAAATAACAGCAAAATGTATAAAATAATTAGGAAGTGATGAGCATTATGCATTTATTACCTGTCTGTAATTTAACCTATTCAAGTATGAGATTATATAATGTAAATTCATTGCTGTGTTTAACAACCAGCATGCAGAACTCCTGAACATTTTACAGCTTTCATAAGCACAGTGAGCTACCTCCGGCATCCCACTGACTTTGAGGAAGTCTCAAGAAGGAGGAAATGAGGAAATGCATTAAATAATTACCCCACTCCCTCCCTCTCTGAAGATTAATTAAAAAAAAAAAAAAGGTGGTGCAGCTTCGTCCTTGTGAGCTGGAACACACCTGAAAGCCTTCAGCTTCCATACATGCAGCCTGGCCTCCCTGTTACCAACATGCTGTGAGCAACCCCCAACGAGCCTGTGCAGAGGCTCATGGAGGAGCCTGGACTCCATGATGAGAGAGAGAGAGAGAGAGAGAGAGAGAGAGAGAGAGAGACCAGGTCAGCACCCAGCTGCCCCCCCCCCACCCCTGCCCCGCTCCAGCTCCACGTGACTACAACCGCACAGGAGACTAAGCTCCAACCACACATCTGAGACCTTCCTGGGGCCTTGGGGTCACTAAAAGCCAGTGGAGCTCCGAGGAGGAGGCCAGTGAGGTCTTCAGAAAAACGCTGCTGGGAACGGGAAGGAAGGGGCACCATGTTACATGCCGGCAGAAAGTCTGTCACCTGCAGTAACCCGGAGAAGAAGAAATGAATGTAACGAGCTCAGTGATACAGCAGAATACTGAGAGTGTCCTCTGGCTTCTTCTTGCTGCCTCTGATAAAATGCAAACGGAGAGGACTTATGAACAAACGATGAAATATCAAGGAGCCAGGACCTGCTGGCCTCACCAACTAAACTGTGTCTCACTGCCAGATACTCCAGATGGCAAAAAATTCTCCAACTGAGAGATCGCAGGCTTTTATTATCTGAGTCCAAGACCTGCTATAAAGCCACAGTAATCGAGACAGAGTGGTAATGGTGAAAGAGGAGACACAGATCGATGAAACAGAATAGACAGTCCAGAAATAGACCCATGCATCTATGGCCAATCGATTCTCAACCAAGGTACAAAGGCGATTCTATAGAGAAAGGCATCGTCTTTTTCGACAAATCGTGCTGGAAAATTGGACATCTGTATGTGAAACAAAACCTCCCAGTCCTTGTCGGGGCGCTGCCTCTGGAAAAGTCCAACCGAAGACAGTGACCATATAATGTATCGCCCAACCGGATGCTCTGGAGAAGGAAAAGGGTTGCAAATGACCACCCCAGGGCAACCCAGGGTAGAGTCATTCCACCCAACCTTCAAGGAAAGACAGCCTGAGTGGGAGGTGGAAGCCACAGAGGAACCACGGGTGAGGCAGAAGCAATGACATCGCAGCAGGTGGCAGGGTGACAGACGATCAGCACCAGGTCCCAGTGGTCTCCCAACACCCCAGGGCCACAGCCCCTAGGATGTCAACATGATCTTGGGGAGAACTGACTAAGGAGACCCAGGCTCAACTGAAACAAAGTGTTGACCTCCCGGCAGAATCAGAGGGGCTCCAACTAGCAATCAAGTTCCGTTATAGAAAAAGCAAACGCGCGTTACATTTTGGGATCGAGTCTGTGAGTGTCAAATGCTTTTCTGGTACCTGGGGGTCCGTTTCCTACTTCAGGTCTTTTTTTTTAAAAATATATTTTTATTGATTTCAGAGAGAAGGAGAGAGAGATAGAAACATCAATGATGAGAGGGAATCATTGATTGGCTGCCTCCTGCACATTGGACCGAGCCCGAAACCCAGGCATGTGCCCTTGACCAGAATCGAACCTGGGTCCCTTTGGTCCGCAGGCTGACGCTCTATCCACTGAGCCAAACTGGCTAGGGCCTTCAGGTCTTATTTTAAATGGCAGAGAAGGGTGGTAAGGCTGGAAGGCAGAGTTCAGTGGGTGGGTCTGTCTGTGCCCTTCTTCCCCTTGCAGGGCCCCTGAACAACACCAGTCCCTCCATTCATCATTTTATTCAAAGCGGTTGCCTTGAGCCCCACCTTCCGGAGGAGACCCCAGGGGAAATCAGTGTGTTATAAATTAACCATGGCCGGGCATCGCCCCAGAAGCCCCGTCAACTGGACGCAGGCCCTCGTAGTCCATCTCGGATTCTCCGCCCGCTGGGAAGGGACCTGTCACAGCCCCTGGCCACGCAGCCTGCTCGTCTTGGACTCACAGCCTGCAGCTTCTCGCCCTCCTGCCGGTGTGCCAGAGCTAGCAGTACTCAGAATAATCCTCCTCCACATAGTTCGAGGGGAACCAGCCAATCTGGAAAGAGACGAGGAAGGGGTCAGGGAAGCCCGTACACAATTCCTCCTGCGGTTCTTCGGCTCAGCAGGCAGGTTTCCTCCCACCTCAGGGCCTTTGCACCTGCCATATCTTCCTCCCCAGAAAATACAACCCTCAGATACACGCACAGCTGACCACCGCCCCCCCCCCCCACACACACACCATTCTCTACTCACACAGTACCTTACCAGTAAGGACTTTCTGTTTAAAACTGCAAACCCCACTCACCCCAACATTCGGCCCTTTTTCCACTGTAGTTTCTCCACAGCACTTGTCTCCATCTAGTGATTGTTTATGTTATTATTTATGGACTTGTTACCTGTCTCTCCCACAAACACATACACACACACACACACACACACACACACACACACACTACAATATAAACTCCATAAGGCAGCGATTCTTGTGTCTTATTCACCACTGAGTGCCAAGAGCCTAGAATAGTTCCTGGCACACAGTATACACTTAAAGAATATTTATTGAAAGGATGCATGGTTCGGTGGATGGATGGACGCATAGATGGAATGATGGATGGATGCCAGGATGGATGGATAAATGCTTTACAGCTTAGACCTTCCTAAACACCCCCCAAAGGCTCTCTCAAACCCTAATTGTCTTCTACTGCAGACTAACCTTCCTTCATGGTCTTTAACTACACTCTTCACCTAAGCAATATTCCAGGTCACTTTTTCACGTCTCCCCTCAGAACATAAGCTCCTAACCCATTCTTTGTCTTTATTCAACAATTATTTCTGAGAAACCATTACAAGTGAAGGAGCACTCTAGAGGTTAGGGATTCATCAACAGATGGAATAAAGACTCTCTGCCTTTGTAAAACAAACATAAAAACTAGGCAGAAACAAACATTTTTGAGAAATCTTGAGGTCCCTCCTGACAGTCTGAATTCAGACAGGCGAAAAAGTACAAAGGGAAAAAGTGGTTAATCCCAGCTCTGCTTCTTCATGCACTCAATATTTTATTGAGCACCTACTGTGTGCCAGGCACTGGTGATACTACAGTGAACAAGAGACAATGTAAGGACAATTTCATAGGACAATGTAAGTGACACTGTAATTAATTTGTAGTATTTCTGACCCTCAGCGGTCAGCTTGGCCTCCTATAAGCTGTCCTGACCTGCACCCCTTAGGGCTTTCACGCTGCCCGGCGATTCCCCATCACAATGTTGGCCATTCAGCATTGCATCTCCTTGATTACAGGTTTGTCCTCTTCACTAGACTATGAGTTTCACGAGGGCAGGGATTGTACTGTGCTCATTTTTGTCTCCCCGGCACTCAGCAGGTCTGGCACGTAGTAGGTGCTCAATAAGTAAATGCAAGTTGCATCAATGAATGAAACCTCTATGTCCCTCGCTCCCCTTAACCAGGTAAGGCCTCCCATGGGCCATTCCCCAGCTGCTCCAGCCCATAATTCCAATACAGCTTCACTGAGGCCAGGATACCTGGGATGCCAAGCTCCGCCCTGACTCACCCGGCCATAGATCTCCCCTCGCCACCAGCCTTGTTGCCCCTTCTTGTTAAGGATCTTGACAATGTCACCCTCCTTGAGGTTCAGCTCGGATCGGTCCCTGGCGCAGAAGTCGTAGCGGACTTTGGCTGTGCCAAAATACTTGGTGCTTCCCGCTGTGTAGGGGAGAGCAGAGGTGGTAAGAAGCCGTGGGCAGACACCGGCCCACCATCCGGGCGCAGTGGGAGGATAATGCCCCCAAGAGGGTAACACTAGGATGAAGGGTCCTTCAACGCGTCTCTGTACAGTGCTGGGTGCCCCGTGCTCCGAGGGGACACAGTTGTACTCCCAAAATCAACCTTGCAGCCCAACCAGCGTCCAAATTTAGAAAATAATACCATAATAATTTTTAAGATGGTTTGTATATATTTATAGTAAAGGAAGCAGAGAAATGATGTGGAAAAAATCATTTAAAGGTATTAAATATTAATTATTTTAAGAAGGACCAAGAGTCTGAAAACAGAGGAAATGGGAGAAAGATAAGCAGGGGTAAAAGACACAGAGACCTTTTCGTAGGACGATGTAAGTGACACTGTAATTAATTTGTAGTATTTCTGCAAATATGATAAGATTGACATCCATATCTATGCCAGTACAAATTAGTAACATGCAGGCAGACAGAAACATTTATTCGATTTAGTGATGTGAACAGAAATAATTTTTGTCTTGGAGTCCTCATGTTACCTTGTTTTGCTTTTCCAGTCATAAAATAGTTTAATGATAATTTCTTTTTAAATATCTTTAAAAAACATTTTGGACATAAAAAATTCAGACACTAAACAACCCATATGACTTTTCTGAAAAACATCCTTCAGAATGTACGCCAGGAAAACAAAATTTGAAACAAAATATGAAATTTAAAAAATAAAGAAAAACATCAGAAACAAGAATTATAGGGTCTAAGTAATTCTTGATTCTGTTTTTACAAGTCAAATTCAATTGTTATGCAAGGATTCATAAATATATGTCATAATTATTTTAAATTATAAGAAACTATATCCAACATTCCAGATAATTTCAACAAATCCTGTGGGTAAGAGATGCAAAGGAAAAGGGAAGTTAGAGTGCACTACAGGAGTCGCCTTTTTGTAGGAGAAGGCTGTAGATACTAATAAATCCTTGATATTGTTACAAAAATATAGGCTTAAAAGGTGCAGGTGAGGACCCTGCTGGTGCCCAGTGTCCCCATCTTCCCCAATATAAAGACATAACCCCTGACCCACCTATGCAAACCACTCCAGAGCAAAGGGACGGGCAGGAGTAGGAAGGGTCCCTGATTCACAGATAGGACCTCCCCACGTCCACTGGAAGGAATGTCCATGGTATCCCCCAGCCTTCTCTCCACGATGTGAAGGAGCTGGGGCTGCAGGCCCCCAGCCTGGTGCATCCTACCTGTCGGTTTGCTTATGGCTCTCCTCTCGGGCTCCTTGAAAGGGAACTGCAGGGTGGTGTCCAGCGACTTGAAGCAATCCTTCAGGGAGTTCTGCTGGTAAAACTCCACCAGCTCCTGGCAGGGGGGCAGCAGGACAGATGCTATTCCAGCAGGCCCGCCCCTGAGGGGGCAGCCCCGGAAGGAGCCACATCCAACTCCTCCTATGAAGCAGGAGGCCTCCCTGGCAAGTGACTCCTCGAATAATCCCCGTGATGGGAAGCTCATTCCATTTCTGCACAGCCGGGGCCATTTTATGGGGGAGAGACCACATTGCCTACAGCCAGTGCCTCTAATAACCAATTTGCTTCATGACACATTTACACAATAATCAACCTACCTAATGACCACCTCACCAAAATCAAACCGGACTCCCATGCGGGTGCCAGGAGCCTTATTTTTGTAATTAATTATAATAATAATTAAGCACCTAATAGGTGCTGGCCAGAGTGCAACCATACGTCATCAAAATCTCCTAATCATCCCGAGGGGAGTATGCTCGTGGTACCAAGTGTTTTATAAATGGTGAAAATGAGTCACAGGGAAGCCAAGTGCCTTGGCCAGGGTCCCATGGCCAGAAGAGCGTGGATCCAGAACTCAGCCTCTGGAGAGGCAGTGGAATAGAGCTGCTAAGTGCTAGCTTCTGAAACATGACTGATCTGAATTCAAGTCCCAGATGTATTGCCCGTCGGAGCATTTATTACACAAATGCTCAAGCTGATGCTAATAACAAGGAAACAACTCAGGGCTATTCTGTAAAAGGACATGTTTGCGTTTTAGAGTTCTAGATTCCCAAGATGCCCATGTGGACCCTGAGAAAGAAGATCTCTATTAAGAAGGGCTCCTGGCCCGGCTGGAGTGGCTCAGTTGGTCGAGCGGAGTCCCATGAACCGAAAGGTTTCGGGTTCAATTCCTGGTCAGGGCACATGCTCAGTCAGGTGATCATGAAACCGATTAGGCAGAGCTAAATCTTCAAGTCCGACAGAAACAGGGACCCTGCTCGTCTCAGCGTCACCCATCTGTGAAACGGGAACTCAGAGAGCGAGTTCTGAGGGCATTCGCTGATGGCCTGTCTATAACCTGTGTGGCACTCAGTAAGTGCTCTGTCAATGCTCACTGCTGTTACTTAGGACTCTGATTACCACCCCCATCATCACTATTGGTCATGAGGGGATTGCCTTTTAGGCCAATTGATCCAAAGTGCCCTTGGAGGGGCCCCTGTGAATATGGATAAGAGGGAGGCCGTCCCAAGATGGAGCCACAGGAAGGGCCCTGCCTGCATTCTGGAAAACTGGAGTTAGGGGAAGATCGGCCCTTACCGCCAGCCCCCGGAAGGCCTTCTTTTCTGTGATCCGGTACAGTCCTTCCGCCGTCATGATTTTAATGTGCTTGACCTCAACATTGTACCTGGAAGCAGGGAGAGAGTGGGCGAGATGGTCATTGAGCCCTGAGGCTGGGGACCCAGGCCCATACTCAGCCAAGCCTCAGCCCCAGGCTGTACCCCAAACCATGGGAAAAGCAGTCTCGGCTACTTCAGGGAGGGGGCGACCACTGGAGCCCAAGACTGAAGCTGCCTCCTGCTGCTGCACCAACTGGTTCCTTCCCTCGGGCCTTTTCTGCTCTAACTTCCTTTCTTCCTCTAAGGCTCCAGATCTTCCTAAGATAACAGGAGTCTTCCTGGACTCACAGGTTGTTGAGAAGTCAGGTCTTGCCAAGAAAGGAATGTTCTAGAACAGTGATTTTCAACCCATGTGACGCACAAATTTTTAAAACAGGCAATACCTGACTCTTTAGCCAGGGCACTGACCTCTTTTCCATCAGATTGTTAAATTTAAAAATGACAACACAACAGCTGTCCAGTGTGAATAAATCAAAATTAAACTTTTGTTTTTGTAAGATTGGCCAAAAAATGTATTTTTTGGTGTGCCACAGAATTTGGGTAATTAGTTTATGTGCCACACGATGAAGAAGGTTGAAAATCGCTGGTCCACAGTAGATAGGACGAGACCTACGGTGTCTAGCTTAAACCACATGGCAGACCACAGAGCAGGGAGGACAGGGAAGAGATGGTCACTTCGGCCAGTTTGGAGAACTAGAAAACCAAACCTCCTCCCACACAGAAAACCCCTAGAAATGCCGAGGAGAAAAGCGCTGAGTTCTCAAAAGAAAAGGGAAATGCCCAGATGCCAGAAATGAGGACAAAACTAAACACGAAGCAGTAAACTAAGCAGTAAGCATGAACTGCGACCCTAAGGAGTTTGCTCATCTTGGAAACCAGGAAGTTTATGTCTCATTGATCACAGAGACACGAGAAGAGTTACGGGGTCCCTCCAGGTGGTGAGTTGGCCTGAGACCCACCCCTACCCTGTAAGGCTGGACTGTCAAGAAGCTTCGCCTTCAGGAAAAGGCCGGGAAGGGGGGCGGGGGGGGGGGTGTTAGAAAACGCCACCCATCAGCGCAGCCAGGATGATAAACATCTTTGTCTGTCTCAGCCCCCACACAGAAAGCCACCCTTGGGAATTCATAGCCTCAGCCCGCCCTCAACAAGGTCTGCGTGTCAACCAAGGAGCGGTTCAGACTGACATCAAGAACAAAAGGCTTTCATTTAAGCAAAAAGTTGCAGCCCTGGAGACACAGGTTTTTCAGGTATCAACCAAAATTGTGTTTCCGGGGAGAACAAACAGAGGCAAGGTCTGTCAAGGCAAAATCCCCAAAGTGTCATTCTTTCTTTCCTGCAAATGAAGAGCCGCTGGCCGAGTTACCAGAGCTTCGTTAGTTTAAATATGCAACCGAGAGGGGTGAAAACTACAAGGAGGAGGTTCGGTCTAAATGCGTCCAGGCGGCGGTTGTTGTTTCGGGATGTTCATGACTCAGCCTTGAGCTCAGTTTAGCAACAGGTTAGCAACTCAGTAGCAGCTCTGAGAACAGAGTCCAAGACCTGCAGCGGCCCCCCTTCCCTAAGAGCCTCCCCCTCTATCTTGAGTCTTGGCCATGACCATTCCATTTTCTTGTGTCCATCACCAGGAGCTTGAACGTGAACTGCCGGTGTAGTCTGAGAAAACTAAGGAATCAACCTAAAGGAAAATGAACCTGCTCGTGGGTCCCACACAAACAAATGCAACATCTCTGGCGATCCCGGCAGCAAAAGACTCCCACAGGGCAGGCCCCGTGTAAGATCGAGACACAACTACAAACCCTACGAGGAAGTGAGTCACCCTGAGCGGGCAGCTGCCCTCCAAAACCAGAGAAGCAGGAGAGGCAGGGTGTGTGTGTGTGAGAGATTCCGGTTCAGGTGATGTCCTTGCTCTGCCTCTTCCTAGGGGGGTGCTCAGTGCCTTTTGGAACCTCCCTAGGAAACATCTCTTCCTTGTGGGTTGTCAGTCATTTAAAGGAAATACATTTGTTTAAACGCACTCAGACCCCAGGGGTTGAATACAAGGTGGCTATTGGCGCTCTGCCACCGGGAGCACAGCGGTGCCTTTCTCTTTCCCGTCTCCTCCCTGCCCCAGGCTGGTTACCCTCAGCTTCCTCACTCCAAGCTCCAAGGGCGTTCCTGGACCTCTATGGCTTGTTTCCTAAGCCATGTCTTCTAGGAATTACTTTTTCTACCTCTGTAATTTGCCATATAAATGTTCTCTTACAAAAAAGAAAGGAAGGAAGGAAGGAAGGAAGGAAGGAAGGAAGGAAGGAAGGAAGAAAGAAAGAAAGAAAGAAAGAAAGAAAGAAAGAAAGAAAGAAAGAAAGAAAGAGAGGAAGGGAGGGAGGGAGGGAGGGAGGGAGGGAGGAAGAAAGGAAGACAGGAAAGATGGCAATCGTGACTGTACACTCCCTTCCTCCCAGCCACTTGCGTCGCCCAGGTCACAGGGGGAGGTGGGTCAGGGAGGGGGGTATTACTTAATGCTGATGGCAAACTCTGCTGCGTCCTTCACCCGCTGCCGCACCAAGAAGGTCCCGTCGGAGCGGTTGGTGAGGATGCTTTCTGCTCCGGCGCGCTCCATGGGGCCAGCGTACCTGCCAAGACACACCAAGGAGAGAGGTCTGCACAGACCCCATATGGCTACATGGGGTCACGTTTTCTCCTAACCCTTGTGACTTTTTTTAAGTTGGTGACAGCCCAAGTCCAACCGCCCTTAGACACCAAAACAAGTCCGGAGGAAGCAGTGGCCAGGGTCCAGAAGTGGGCAATTTAAAGGGTGGGGGGTGGGGTGGGTCAAAAAATTCAGCCATCAAGATAAATAATAACGAGTAGTACTTCACACTGTTGAACAAAATTGAAGAAGCCACAAAGAAATGGGAAGATACTCCATGTTCATGGATTGGAAGCATCAACTTAGTTAAAATGGCCATTTTACTTAAAGCAATATACTGAGTTAATGCAATCCTCATCAAAACCCCAATGGCATTTTTTTCAGAAATAGAACAAAAAATTATCAAATTTGTATGGAACCACCAAAGACCCCAAATAGCCAAAGCAATCCTGAGAAAAAAAGAACGAAGCCAGAGGTATCAGCCCCCCTGACTTCAAAGTCTACTACACAGCTACAATAATCAAAACAGTGTACTGGCCGGAAAACAGACACACAGACTGGTGGAACAAAATTGAGAGCCCAGAAATAAACCAACACGTATATGGGCAACTAATTTTTGACAAAGGAGTCAAAAACGCATAACAGAAAAGAAAGCCACTTCAATAAATGGTGTTGGGAAAATTGGGAAGCCGTGGAACTAGACTGCTATTTGACTCCATTCACAAAAATTAACTTAAAATGGATTAAAGACTTAAATATAAGACCTAAAACATTAAAACCACAAAGAAGAAAACATGGGTTCTAAACTTAATAGACCTTGGTCTCAGAGAGAATTTTATGAACTTGACCTTAGAGGCAAGGGAAGGAAAAGCAAAAATAAATGAATGGGACTATATCAGACTAAAACGTTTTCTGCACAGCAGAAGAAACCCATCAACATAACATAAAGGCAGCCCAGCTAGCATGGCTGAGCATTGACCTATGAACCAGGAGGTCATGGTATGATTTCGGGTCAAGGCACATGCCTGGGTTTTGGGCTCAATCTCCGGTGTGGAGGCATGTAGGAGGCAGCCAATCAATGATTCTCTCTCATCACTGATGTTTCTCTCTCTCTCCTTCCCTCTGAAATCAATAATATATATTTCTTAAAAATTATACACTTAAAACTTAGATAATGTTATTCACCAAGGCCACTTCAATAAATTTGATTTTTAAAAGTAGTATTTTAATGTAAGGTTTTTAAAACTCAAGAAGACTACAAAAGCAGCCATAAAAAGGAGCAAAGTCCTGGCACTAGTTACAACATGAATGAACCTTGAACACATGATGCTCAGTGAGAGAAGCCACACACAAAAGGCCACACAGTGTGTGACTCCATTCATGTGAAAAGTCCAGAACAGGCAGATCCAGAGACAGGAAGTGGGTTAGTGGTGGCCAGGGGTTGGGGAGGGAAGAGAGGGAACTGCTAATGGGGGCAGGGCTTTTTTTTAGGGGGAATGAAGATGTTTTCCAGCAAGAAAGAAATAATATACATACATCACTGTGAATGTACTAAAGTGCCATCCTTCCTATATAATAAAAGGCCCAATATGCAAATTGAACCCCTCGACCAGGAGTTCAACTGGACCAGCCCCGCCCCCGATCAGCCCCCCCCCCCCATCGGGGGCAAGGCTGGCCCGCCAACCTGGCCGACCCCACCCATGCACGAATTCATGCACCATGCCTCTAGTTGTCAATATGGGTATATTTATGTTGTAAATGTAAATATATAATAAGTATATTAATTATAGATTATATACAATTATAAATATATAAATGTGAATATGAATATATTTATGCTATAAATGTGAATCTGTAACATAAATAATATGGTAATTATAGATAATATAAACTAGATAATAAATAAATGTGAATATGTAACAAATGTTAATTACAGATATATAATTATAGATGATATATAAATGAGTATTAATGTATACTATAAATATAAACATAACATAAACAATGCATAAATAAGTAGAACAACAATTATTAATTCTAGATAATATATAATTATAGCTGATACATAATTATGAATATGTAATATAAATTTAAACATGAATATAAATTATACTTAAAATGGTCAAATTTTTTTAATCTTCACCCAAGGATATTTTTCCATTGATTTTTAGAGAGAGTGGAAGGGTGGGGGAGAGACAGAGAGAAAGAAACGTCAATGTGAGAAAGACATATTGATGGGTTGCCTCCCACATGCGCCCCAACCAGGATTGGGGATCTGGGGATTAAGCCTGCAACAGAGGTCCGTGCCTCTGACCGAATCGACCCGGGACCCTTCAGTCTCTGGGTCGATGCTGTATCTACTGAGCCAAACCGGCTAGGGCTTAACATGGTTAATTTTATGTTATGTGAATTTCACCTCAATTTTAAAAATGAATTTGGCCCTGGCCAGGTATCTCATTGGTTAGAGTGTCATCCTGATACACTAAGATTGTGGGTTCAATCCCTGGTCAGGGCACATACAAGAAACAACCAATGAATGCATAAACAAGTGGAACAACAAATCGATGTTTCTCTCTCTCTAAAATCAATCAATAAATAAAAATTTAAAAAATGACTGCAGCCCTGGCCAGTGTGGCTCAGTTGGTTGAGCATCATCCTGTACACCAGAAGGCTGCCAGTTCGATTCCGGTCAGGGCACATGCCCAGTTTGTGGGTTCTATCCCCAGTTGGGGTGCGTGCGGGAGGCAACTGATCAATGTTTCTCTCTCACATCGATGCTTCTCTCTCTCTCTGTCTCTCTCTCTCTCTCTCAAATCAATAAAAACATATATTTTTTAAATGAGTGCAAAAAAGCCCCATGATGAGCAAAATGTCAACATTTTAAATAAACACACGGTCTGATTCTGCACTTGCCTGATTCAACACAGTTCACCTCTTCCTACTCCCAGCCCTGTCATACCCTATCTGTATTTACAACTTTGATGTCTTGCTCATCAAGGATATTTTTTTGCCTTGATCTTAATTTTTTTAAATGTTACATGAAAATGTCGTGGGCCTCAATGCCTGAGGTTCTTGGTGCCCCCTTCGATTTTTCACCCACAGTGAGTGCCTCACTCTTCTCACCCCGTTTCCGCTCTGGTGACCACTGCCCGGCCGGGGTGGGCAGAGCGAGCACAGCCTGGACACACTGTGGTTGGAATCCTGGCTTGGCCCCCTAGATGCTCTGTGACCTCAGGAACTGGTTTTTCCGCTCTGAGCCCCAAATTCCTCTTCTAGAAAGAGGGTGAGAAGCCCACCCGCCACCGAGGAACACTTTTGGCAAATGGCGAGAATGCAGTTGAAGCACCTCATCTATGAAATGCACAAGGTTGTTCTATGCTCGTCGTGTTACCATGACTCTCAAGAGGCAGAAAGTCAGGCCCTGGAGTCAGGCCGACTTGGGTGGAATCCCACCTCTGTCACTTCCTCGCTGCGTGACACTGAACAGATCCCTTCTCCTCTCGGAGCCTCCGTTTCCTCCTCTGCAAAAAGGGAGTTAAGAATGGCACCTACTCCAAAAGGCTGTGACAAGAATTAAATGTGCTGACACATGGTCATAAAAGCAACACGCTTGTTAGGTCAGGTCTAAGTCGCCAACGACTGTAAAACGCACCGTTCTTTATTGGACCATTACAAAATGAAAACCACTACCCATAAAATAAGGTAAAGACGGAGGCTCCATTGATTGTAAAAGATGTTAAAATGTGTGTGTGTGTGTGTGCGGGGAGGGGGGAGGTGAATGAATACTCAGGATGGATGAAATGTGACAATAGCTAATGATGAAAACAACAGATAATAAAGTGCTTATTGTGCACCAGTTATGAAGCCTCATGACAACCCTATGAAGTAAATATTGATATTCATCTAGTTTCCAGAGAGGGAAGTTGAAGTACAGAGACACTGACTTACTAGCCCAAGGTCACACAGCTGGGAAAGGTTGGAGTCAGGATTTAAACCCAGGCCAGTGGATTCCAAAAGCAACACTGTAAACCGTCACCCCTCAAAGTTCTATACGTAGTAGGTGCTCCAAAAAAAATGGGGACCACCACTGCCATGGTCACCATCATTTTCCTGCCAGGAGACGTATCATCTCCTAAAGTTTGGGGCCCTCTTCTGTCTGT